CCCCAAAACCCCAAAACCCCAAAACCCCAAAACCCCGAAACATAATATCTTCGTTGAAATAATTTATCGACCACTAATTTATTGAATCTCTTCAGCAGTAGTATCAATGTATGGGAAGGTAGCAATCTTAGATATTCCTTTAAATGAGTCTTTTGGGACGACTGGAATCTCATAGTTTCCTGTCTGTGGATTTTTATGTCTTACATTATCAGCTCCTGTGCGTCCAAAAATAGCTTTAACCACATCACGATGAAGATAATGGCCTTCTTTGTCAAGGTAATATACGTAAACTTTATCTTCTATGCCTAGATGGCTTAAAAATGCTCTAAAGCATAAATCTCACCTGTAAATTCAAGCGGGATGACTCTGATGCTCCAATTATCGACCCATCCAATTGATCTACCATTTTATTCCTCAATCCTTACTTTTTATACATTTCTCTGTTTCATGCTTTGATCCCTGATATTGGGAATCTAAAGTATAAGTCATATTTTACCTTTTAGTCCCGAAGAAAGTTGAGACGATTACATATTCTCCATTTTCTTCCAAGTATAGTTCTTTAATGCTCATTAGAAACTTTAGGGCATATGGAGGACTAGCTAGACTGTCAGAATATAACCTACAAAGCGTGAAGAACACAAATCCAAATCCTGTGATTGCGCTCTTGATTAGCTTCATTATGATTCCTGAAGCTCCAAATAAAGATCTGTGTGTTAGGGATATGCTTACTTATAGAAGAGATAAAAACAGAGTGTGGAAATACCTGCTGTCCTTGCAAAATAAAAAGCCTCCTTTGTGAAATTGAAATTATGACGATAAAGAAGACAAATCCCATTCTCAAATGATAGTGGAGTCTTTGGGTAATGAATATTCCAGTAGTTAATCTCTTCACTTGCTTTCTTTGGAGTGTGACTAAAGCTTCTACTGCTCTGGCTAAGTAAAGAATCCTGAGTTTTACATTTAGCCAAGGAACTATAGTTGCGGTATTCAACGAGACTATTCCTATCTCTATACGAAGCCATATGAGCAGAATTCATAGTGTAAACAGATCTCATAAGTCCCGCATAAGAGACTCTCATCATTTTATAACTCTGAAGTGAAAACATATTTAAAATTATATCAACACGAAATTAAACTTTAGGGGTTTTGGGGTTTTGGGGTTTTGGGGTTTTGGGGTTTTGGGG